CTGGCTGCTGCTGCTCGTCTTTTTCTTTCTTTATGCCAAAAAGACACTTGTTCTGAGGCAGCTGGAAAAGGATGTTTAGAAGAGAAGGAAATCAAACAAACACACCGAGAACATCATTTGCTGTGTGTCCACCCCTCACTGTCTTTCTCACTCACAGGTCTATTAAATTTGATTGGTTGGTACACTCTAAGAAATTAAATGTTGATTTAACTTAATCATGTTATGTGAACTGCTTCCACTAGCTGCTTAAGTGCAAAGAGTAGTATACATTTACTTTTGACACAAAGTATAACAACATTTACATTACTTTACATTTTAGCAAGAAGATTTAGTGAAGTCAGTTCACATAACTTGGCATCAATCCAGTTTTCCTCCTTTCAGGAATTACGTACGTTATTCTAGAAATCTGTAAAAGTGATAGTCCTACCCTGTCCTAGTATTGTGTTGTTAATATGTAAATGATTTTTGCTAACCTCGCCCTATCATGTAGAGCCCCGTGCAATTTGAACTGTGCGCTGTGCAGCATTAGCCAATTGTGCTAGATATCCGCTTGCGTACAGCTGTCAATCACTGAGCTAGCGTATTTACAGATGTACCTAGACTGATGCAGAACTGGCCACATTTCTTACGGATGAGTGACCCCCACTTCACACTGGAAGTATCAGCGACGCTGAATGTCACTGCTTAAAATTTGAATAATTATATAGTAATTATAGTCTATGGGGGTGATTCAAACCAGCCGCAATGCCGAATTTTTTAGGCTTTTCCCAGAAAAATATAGAATCGGGTTCTTTTGTTTTTTGCTGCGAGCCTCTTCTCGGACACAACAATTTCCGCAGTTAACATAGGGCTAAACAGGAAATCACATTTAGTTTTGGTGTAAAACCCCAGGTAATTTTCTAAATAAAATACTATTGCAGTGATGCAATTCCATATCTATGTAGATGATGTCAACACATGTGACTTAACGACTTATTTACTCTCAGCGTCGTTCCAGTAGTGCAATTATGTGTTTTTATGGTTTTAATCCTGGCAGTGGAGAGGAACAACATCATATATGACATCGAACAGAGATATCCAATGGCATCTCCTCCTTTGGGGTTTAATGGTGGATGGCATAAACAAACTGTGACCTTTGAAGTCTTGAGGGATTTTGTGATCTTGCAAGTCCACGGTGGAGCACGGCAGAAGAGTTGTTGCAAAACCTTCTCAAACCCGAAGCGTTTAAAAATGACGATGGGTGACCAAGCGTTTGTTCTCGATGTGTTGGGAGCCCCAACACGTCGGGAGGCGACGCTCTGTTTCTGACTGCCACAGTAAAACAGATTTCACCGAACTGTCACCTTTACCCTCCTGCTAATGCAAGACTTTGTTTCTATTTGTAACGTCCCTCTCCAACACCGTTAAAGGGAAGTTTAGAATGAGTAACTGGGTTAAGGTTAGGCTGTGGGTGAGGAGAAGCTTAAATAGCAAAAGGTTAGAGGTTAAAAGGCGATTAAAGTATCTTTCCAGAGTTTTACCCTTTCAGAAATTATGTATGATTTTTTAGAAATCCGTTAACATGATTGTCTCATCATGTGGACCTTCGCTCGCTAGCCAGCCTGGCGAAGACAGCAACCTTCAACCACAACAATACCGTCAACTTCGGCCTCCTGAATGTCCGCTCTCTCACAAACAAGGGTCAGCTCATTCAGGACCTCATCACCGACCATAAACTGGACTTCATCGGGCTCACGGAGACCTGGCAGCAACTTAACGACTTTTCCCAACTTAACGCTTCCGCTCCCCCCGGCTTTGTTTACCTTTCCTATCCACGTGGCTCCGGTCGCGGGGGCGGTCTCGCGCTGCTCTATCGCGAGAAGTGGAAGGTGCTGCCTGTCTCCACTCCTGCCTTCAGCTCCATGGAATCTTCTGTTTTTCAAATACCCGGTCCCACTCCTACAGTTATAGCCTTGATCTACCGCCCACCCAAGCCCAATAGTGACTTTTTAAATGACTTCTCCTCATTACTCACCCAGCTCACTACCCTCTCCCCCAATGTCATTCTGCTTGGTGATATAAATATTCATATGGACAACTTGAACCTCCCCCTCACCAGAGACTTCTCCTCCTGCCTCAACAGCTTCGATTTTCAAACATATTCTAATTTTCCCACGCACATTAAAGGTCACTCTCTTGATTTAATCTGCTGCTCTGGTTTAACCCCATCTAACTGTTCTGCTAATGATGTAAATATATCTGATCACTTTTTTCTGTCATTCAACATCCCCCTCTGCTCTTTAAGAACTAAGCCTATCCGTCACATCTCATTCCGCAATATCAAAAACATTAACCCAGACACCCTGTCATCTATTATTAACACTATATCCATCCCTAGTTCTGCTTCTCCTGACCATCTTGTTTCTCATTATAACTCCACACTCCACAATATCTTGGATTCTCTTGCCCCAGTCAAAACTCTGTCCGTCTCCTTTACTAACTCTGCCCCCTGGTTTACCCCTGAACTCCGACAGATGAAAGCCAAAGGACGTCAACTCGAACGCCTCTATAAACGAACTGGTCTTGCAATACACAAAGAAATGCACAAAACTCATCTGCTTCAATACTTGGACTCAATTAAACATACAAAATCTGCTTTCTACTCTGGATTGGTTTCCTCCAATGAAGGCAACTCCAGGACTCTGTTCTCAATAATGCGCAATATTTTTCATCCCCCGGACTCTCTACCCCCCCACCTGTATTCTGCTGACTCATGTAACTCTTTATTAACCTTCTTTATTCAGAAAATTGCTTCCATACACCAGCAATTAATTCCAAGTTCTTCCCCTCCCCCTGAGATTTTTTCACCCGGCCAGTCATTTTGTTCCTTTCTTCTTCCCACCTCATCCGAAATATCTGATATTATCTGTAAATCCAAGCCCACCACCTGCTCTCTCGACCCCCTCCCTACAGTTTTGGTTAAAACATGTCTCACCTCCCTTCTCCCTCTCATAACCACCATAATCCACTCCTCCCTCTCTACCGGTATTGTTCCCTCACTTTTCAAAACTGCATCTATTACTCCAATATTAAAGAAACCCGGCACCGATCCCAATAATTTCAATAATCTTCGTCCCATCTCAAATCTTCCCTTTCTTTCAAAAATCCTTGAAAAAATAATCTCTGCTCAACTCCATGCTCATCTCACGCTCAATAGCCTCTATGAACCCTTCCAGTCTGGCTTTCGTCCTGGCCACAGTACAGAAACTGCACTCATAAAAATCACCAATGACCTCCTCACTGCTGCCGATACTGGACTGCTCTCCATTCTCATCCTCCTCGACTTGAGTTCAGCCTTTGATACCATCTCTCACACCATCCTCCTCCATAGATTGTCTTCCCTTGGCATTTCTCATACCCCGCTTGATTGGTTCCGTTCATATCTCTCTGGTCGTACTCAGTTTATTCAACTCAAATCCTTCACTTCCCGTCCCTTCCCTGTCACTACTGGCGTCCCCCAAGGCTCTGTTCTCGGTCCACTCCTTTTCATCACTTACCTTCTTCCCCTGGGAAATATTTTCCGTAAATTTGACATCCATTTTCATTGTTACGCGGATGACACCCAGCTCTATGTATCCTCCAAACCCTCCTCTTCACTTCCTCCTTCCTCCCTCACCAATTGTTTATCTGAAATCAAAGACTGGTTCACATCAAACTTTCTCAAACTCAACAGTGATAAAACAGAAATGTTACTTGTCGGCACTAAATCTTTTCTATCCAAAATCCACAGCTTTACACTTCCCGTCGACAACTCCTTAGTTTCCCCCTCCCCTCAGGTCAAGAGTCTGGGTGTCATCCTCGACTCCTCACTATCCTTCCAGTCCCACATAAACAATATTACCCGGTCTGCCTACTTCCATCTACGTAACATTAACCGCCTACGCCCCTCCCTCACTACTCACTCGGTCGCCATTCTTGTCCACAGCCTCATCACTTCCCGTATTGACTACTGCAACGCTCTTCTCTTTGGTCTTCCTCACAAATCCCTCCATAAACTCCAACTTCTCCAGAACTCGGCAGCCCGCATCATTTCCAGAACTCCCTCCTTCCACCACATCACACCTGTTCTTCAGCAGCTCCACTGGCTCCCTGTCACTTCCAGAATCCAATTCAAAATTCTGCTATATACATTCAAAGCCATCCATAACCTAGCTCCACCGTACCTCTCAGACCTCCTTCATCCTTCAACCTCCACCCGTTCCCTCAGGTCCTCCTCCTCCATCCACCTCTCAGTCCCACCTTTCCGTCTGGTCACTATGGGGAGCAGGGCCTTCAGCCGCTCTGCTCCCCAGCTCTGGAACTCACTTCCTCCTGACCTCCGTAACATTGATTCCCTCACTCTCTTTAAAACCAGACTCAAAACTCACCTGTTCCGTCTGGCATTCCAATAATTACTCTCTTTGCTCCAATCTGTCTGTTTGTTTTATGCTGTTTTATCTTTTATTGTTGTGTATTTTATCTCTGTAAAGTGTCCTTGAGTGTTCAGAAAGGCGCTGTTGAAATAAAATGTATTATTATTATTATTATTATGTACTGCGATATAATGTAAACCATACATCTTTTATTTATTTATTTATTTTGCTAAGAACGCCCCCTTCCCCGCAGAGCTCTGTGCAATAGGAAACTGAGCGTCGGCCAGAACTAACCAATAGCGTTAGACTGCCGCTTACGTGCTTCAAATTTAAGGAATAACTCGGCTGATGCAGAGTTGATGAACTTTTCATGGACAAGTAAGTCTCTAAAATATAAATATATGAAAACACAACATGACATGAGAATAATACTAACATGTTTTAACTCTGTTTGTCGGCTACAGAAGGACATAAAAAAACTAGAAACATGAAGTCGCCATCTTAAAAACTTTGAAGAAGAAATTATTTGTGTGATATGCTTGACTGCCACTAGCTGGTGTCATTGGATAAGAGAAATACTTCGGAATGAAACTTTAAAGAGCAAGTCACTGTCATGGCTCGAGGTAAGTGTCTAACCCAAGACATGCAGAATCAGCACACGTAGTCCAAAGCAGTAAAGTAAAATGTCTTTATTATAAAAACGGGAACTGAAACCGCACAGGGAAGTCCTGTGGGATGAGCAATACGGCTCGAGTCTCTGAGGTGCTCAGGTTAATCAGTAGAGGAGGGGAAGCCGGGGAGGACGCTGGTCAGAGGATGAGAGATCCAGGAGGGGTGAGGTAGCAGAGGGAAAGCCAAACAGGAACGGCGGAGGAGGATGGGACGTGATGAGTATGTTCCAGAAAACGAAGACAGCGAGGGTGAGTAGATGATGAGATGATCCTGAGCGAGACAAAAACAGGCGTAAGGGATAATCCAATTCCAAATCCAAAATACAATCCAAGGTCATAAATCCACTAGTCGAAGGCGAGTCAATACACGAATTAACAAGATCAAAGTTCAGAGTCGAGTGGCTGGTGCTACCTAAACTGGTGCAATCATCCGGCAAAGTGATGTGTCTCCATCCTCCTTTTGAACCCGCGTCCCTGATTGGGAAATCTCCTGCAGCTGCTGCTCCCTCTGCTCCTCACCTGTGGAGAATTAGCTCAGAGTCTGGTGAGAGGAGAAGGTGTGACTCACCTCTGCCCAGGAACATGACAGTCACCCCCAAATCAACTTTTTTACTGATAAACTATATAAATGTGTGTCTAATTGTGCTGCAGACACGTGTAGTCAATAGTTTAGCACTTTAGTGCACTTAAGTTCAAATTTTAATTTTCTGCCTAAAACTGTCAGTGTTGTGTCGTTGTCAGGTAAAAACTCTGCACTGCATTTGAATTTAAATCTGCCATCGCTATTGGCTAAGAGGTACCCTAGAACGTTAGCTGGTACATTATGATGTCACAATGTTGATGTTGAGCCTGTGTGTGTGTGTGTGTGTGTGTGTGTGTGTGTGTGTGTGTGTGTGTGTGTGTGTGTGTGTGTGTGTGTGTGTGTGTGTGTGTTAGTGACTCCACCCTCTTGGTCTGCTAGGCAACAGCATTTGTTGCATTTTTCAAACAGGAAGTGGGAGTTGAGTAAGAATCTGATAGGGGGTGACTTGCTCTTTAAATGTACGTTTTACCACGAGCATTGGAAACACTTTGGCACAGCGGTTGGAAAAAAACTATTTCTGCTTTAAGGCTGTTAATATAGGGGAAGTGAAGAAGTTGTAAAGACCAAACCCAGTCAGTGAATACCATCCACTCCTATCTGGGTGAAGGAGAGGACGTGTCAGCAAGAACAAAGATCGCTCTCTCTCTGTCTCTCTGTTGTCATAATCAAGAGAATGGGACTTAACCGCTGATTCAAACCCACACATGAAGTGCACACGCTTAGCTCAGAGCAGTTCAAAAACAGAACAGAGAACAGGTGGAAGTATGGTAAAGAAAAGTTTTTTTCCTCCTTAATTTAGACAAAATAGGTTTTGTTCTTTTTTACATTTCTCATATATATGTTTTACTTTTTTGTATTTGAGAATCAAGCTTTCTGAAAATCATTCGAAGCTTTTTGATGAAACATCGTTATTATTATTTGTCATTTTTAGTCCAGTCCACAACTTTTAAATTCACATATTTGTTTTATGGCTAATCACAGTTCCAATTTGTCCACAATAATGGACTTTTTTAAAAAGTCAAATGTCCCTCACCCTTAGACCAAAGTCTCGTAAAAGGACATTCCAAAAATGTTCCGTTCCTACATGTTTGGTTGTACCGGGGAAAAAAACACCCTCATATTTTATTATCAACAAAAAAGCATGTCACAACTATTTATTCTCAGATTTGTTTTACATTTATTCATGACTTAATTAATTTTAAAGATATAAATGATAAATGGCCTGTATTTTTAAAGCCTCTTCTAAGGTTCTCCAACTACTTAAGGTGCTTTACAACACAACGCACACACCCATTCACACACGTTCACACCCAGATGGTGGAGATGAGCTACAATGTAGCCACAGCTGCCCTGGAGCACAATGAAGAAAGGCTGCCGAACACTGGCACCACCGGGCCCTGCAACTACCACCAGCAGGCAAAGAAGGCCAATTGTCTTGCTCAAGGACCATTGATGGCAACAGATGGGGCTTGAACCTGCATCCCTCCAGTTAGGCCTAATTTATGCTTCTCCGTCTGTGCGGAGACACGCAACTCCATTATTTACAGTTGCAAGGGCTCTCCAGCATGCTCACAAGGATAGATGGAGTCGAGCCCACTTTTCTAAACATTCATTGAAAGAGACGGAGAGCACAAGCTTGTGGTTGGCCAGGACGCTGTCTCCCTTAAAATTGTCAACACAGCACTCAAAAAAAAAGAAAGAAAAAAAGCACCTTGTTTGTGATAAACTATTTTAAACCTTGTGTTCTTTATTTTTATGGCATTCTATAAGCAGTCAATTGAATTAGCTTAGTTTTGTGACAGAAAAAAACTTTGACGAGATAAAATTCAAATGATTGTTTTTTTTTTTTTACTTAAAGCTGGGTGAACAAGACTAAAATAGCCTTTATTGTTATTTTACAGGCTACAGCAAAATTAGAGTGCCGCTCCCTTCGGTGCAAAATGTAAAAGAATACAAAAAATAATACAGAAATGATCTAAAAACAGTCATATGTACAAATCTATAACAGAGTAGCAGCAGTTATTTGTAGCAGCATTGTGGGTTTTGTGCGGGTCACTGTTGGACTTTAGCAAGCAGCTGGCATCCAAACTTGGTGAATAGAATGGGAGCTCTGTGGGTAAAATGTGAAGGCCATAGAAAATATGGCTAAATGTTCACGTATTCAAGGTAAAACAACAAAGAATGTATGTAGGCAAAGAAACTGAATGCTCTTTTTTGTGTGCCTTGCAACACATTTGAATATCAAATTCATGCAAAAATTAGTTTTTCTGCCAAAAGTCAGGGTTAAGGATGAGACACGAGGTGAGAGAAAGTGTAGAGGCATCACCAAGGGAGAGAGGAAACAGGCTGGTAGTGAAAAGAAAGAAAGATGGGGTGGATGAAGAGACATTATGGATGAAAGGAGGGAGGAAAGACCTGCTTAGGTACAGATTAGAGAAAGCATCCCACATGGGGCAACTTAGTTTAGCATTCAACACGCGTCGCGAGGAAGTGATGAGGGGAAGGGGAAGAAGGAGGGAGGGAAATAGGAAGGGAGGTGGAGAGACGTTGCTAGGTGACGGAGCGTACATACTGAATTTTAACAAAATCACGGGAGAGCAGAGGGTGAGTGAGAGGGACGGAGAGGTAGCAGTCAGCAACATGTAGCCTCGCTGAGTGGAGGGAAGGTCGAAACTGTGCGTGTGGCTCGTGTGCGCCTCTTCTCAGTTCTCTAAAAAGGGGGACAACATGTTTGCGTTTCATCCCGAGGACATTGTCCCGCAATAATCAAATCGATCCGGCTGTATGTCGCAGGAAATGTCCAGCGGATGGATGGATGGATGCATGCATGGATTTTGGTGCACGGAGAGACATTCTGGAGAGCAGAAAGACAAGAAGAAGAGGAGGAAGTGTGTGGGGCTCCTGAGAACAGTGAGTAAATGATTCCTGTCTGATGTTGGACTGTGGGGGTTGTCTCCTTTTTGGGGGGCTCTTTGGTCTTGAAGGTGAAAATGTTGCGCCACGTCTCAGACAACTGTCTCCAGCGTTGCCCTTCACATTCCTGCTGTTGAACGTGAGATGCTGCATGTCTCCGGGGCTGGTGGTGTCGGTGCACGCTCTCCAACCAGCCGGCACGGCCAGGACGCAGCCGGCCGTCCGGCGCGCTACGCTTTGACCCTTCTGTCATTGATGCGCACGCACGCACTTATATGTGTTTGGGCTGTCTTTCAGCCAGACACGCACGCGGGCTTAACTCCTCCATCCCTCCGCGCGCATCAGCAGCTGGTGCACCAGTAAGGAGCAGGATATGTGCGTGAAGATCACTCCCCAGGACACACGGTATTGGGAATTAGTCCTGTAGGAGAACGCACCCCTCTGCCTTCCTCCTTCCCTTCCATCCACTTCATGCACACACTCTTTCAAAGATGAGGGCTAAAACACCACGGGCATGGATGGTGATCATGTCATTGTGGTTGTGCGTGGGGCCGATTCAACAGTTTGCCTCTATGCCTCGCTTCAGCTCGCAGTAAATTGAATTTTCCGGTCATCTACCTTGAACACTCTAATCACCCTTTCATTTCTATACAGCAGCGTGTGTGTGTGTGTGTGTGTGTGTGTGTGTGTGTGTGTGTGTGTGTGTGTGTGTGTGTGTGTGTGTGTGTGTGTAAATACTGCAGTTAAAGCTCATGGCCAGTGTGACATTACTGGTTAATATTTTCATAACCCAGGGAACAGAGAGTCCAAGAAGCAGCTGGCTCACTGTGAGTGGATGCCTTCCTCATTTACATTCAGATCTCACTTTCTTCTTCACACAAAACTGAGATTGTTTAAAAAAACATAACAAATGCATGTTCCCCATCAGTTTGTGTATATTCTAAATGTCTGCTTAACAAGTCGTACCTGTTTGTGTGATATTGTGTCTGAATAGTGTAGAATAACACTCAAGCTTTGGTGTGGTCCTCATGGCACCGTTTGAGGCCACTGACATCTGCGGCAACAACATATTCTTGATATTGTCTGAGGCCAGAACACTGTTTGGCCCAGTGCTGGACCGCGTGTGATGGATAAATATGGCTGCTTCCTAGCGGAGACTGTCAAAGGCTGAAAGGGTTATCCCATCTTTTCTTTCACCTACTCCCTGTTTCCTCTTTTGTGAGGTCATCGACTGCCAAGGTGAGCCTCTGGTCATCCATGCAGCAATACTTCAAAGTTTGATGTGTATAAGACAGCCTTTTGTCATGCCAGGTGCTTTGAAACGAGACAAGATGATAAAAACAGCAACAAGAGATGTTGACAAATTCCACACAAGTTAGATCCTGGCAGGCTCTGGTACAACAGGGATTAAAGAGAAGGGGAAACATCATTAAGGAAGTAGAGATATTTGCCTTTTATTTGAGGCACAGTTGTTATATGATACTATATATAGTGTGTATATATATATATATATATATATATATATATATATATATATATGTATTTTATATTTATATTTTTTTATATATTTATATATATTTTTAAATTTATATATATATATTTTTTTATATTTGTATATATATATATATATATATATATATATATATATATATATATATATATATATATATAAATGTATTTTATATTTATATATTTGTATATATATATAAATGTATTTTATATTTATATATTTGTATATATATATATATATATATATATATATATATATATATATATATATATTTGCATATATATATATATATATATATATATATATATATATATATTTGCATATATATTATATTTGCATATATATATATATATATATATATATATATATATATATATATATATATATATATATATATATATATATTGCAGCCAGCGAGCTGTTCAATTCACATACATTCAATATTTTTAATAAAATGTGGAAAATGCAATAGATTAATTTAAAACGTTTCATAACGCGAAAAGTGATTTGGTGATATTCTACGTTTGGAGGAAATATAATATTTTGTATCTTTATTTATTGACATATATTTTAAGAGGATAAAACAGCTTGAGATGAGCCATCTAGTTTTTGAACAAGTCCTCGTTTTTTTACAAGCAATAAAAAGAAAGATAGCAGAGTCAGCGTACAAACAATAAATCTAGTACAGTAAAAATAAACAAAACACAAAACTTAAAGAAAAGCCCACAGCGGTGATATATGTAGACATATACTCATAAAAAATGGTAAGTGTTGATGCTGACATCATAAAAAATGTCCAAGCAAATGGAAAAACTGTAGTAACACATGGAATTCTGCAACTACAAATGTTAGAGGGCAGAAGCTTTAGGTGAACCCTAACGGTTGAAAGTGGAATTACAACAGTTGAAAACAACCCTGCTGTGGCTAAACTAACACAAGCCAACTGATTCTAGACAAGCCACAGAGTAAAACTATTCATAATGTAATATAATTAAGTACAAAACCAGCAGCAACAAAGCCAGGTCACCATCAGTCTGTGATTTTGTAATTTCCTTCAGCTTCCTCAAACAAATGTAGGCTGCACCCATTTTCTCTCAGGTTTTAGCTCTTTGGGTTGCCTTCAAATACATTATTCTCTTAGATGTACTCCCAGGCTCTGCCATGATGCCAACTTAAAAATCCAAACTCTTTTTCCTTGTGCTTTTATTGATGGTCGGCTAACTTAAAAAGCTAACTGTAGGCCTTTGAGCTACCGGCACAGTAAGCAGCTATTGCAGTGAAGAAGGTAGTGACCTCCCACTAGGGCTGCTATCCATGCCACAAAAATTAAGTGCAGTTTCTGGTCAGCAGAGGGCTACAGAGTGCTGCCCCATCTGAAGTCGCTAATTTTTTTTTGCCTCAAGAACCACTGAAACCAGTTTGAAAGAAATCACTTAATTGCCTTAAGATACTGGTGCGGCACTAGTTCATAAACTTCAACCATTTGATTTCTTCCAAAATTTTGCAAAACAATGTCATTTTTTTTAATGGTGAAGAATTTGGCAGAAGCTTTCATTCAAGGCGGTTTACACAGAGGCAGGTATAGCGTCTCGCTCATGGACACATTGATCTCTGTTGATGATATTAGCTGTTTGAAGTGTTGACTGTTTAATATAGTTATCTTTGTTTATACATATTTTTTATTTGTGTCTAAAACTGATGTAAACTCATAATTTCGTCAGGTTTTGAGCTGTGAATCAGCCATTTGGCTGATTGCAGCCACTTCAGATAATGTCCGTAATTTCAACCAGTACATTTCAGCAGTCATATACGTAGCTTGTAACATTTAATTTAACTGTGAGATATTTTCAACAAACCAATGAGTGCAGTACAGCTTAAGAAAATTGCATTAAAACCAACAGTGGAATGGATACGTCCTCGTCATTTGCCAGATGGCAACAGGGTGACCAGACTGGGTGGGGTGAGAAGTTTTTTTCAGCCTCTTGTGAACTCACTGCAGACATCTCACTTCACCATTTGCACAGATATTTAATGAAGGTGCTGTTTATTTTCTGGTTAGGTGTAACTTCCAGTGGAGTGTTTCATTAATCCTGGAGTCTTAACATCTCAGGTCAGGGTTACCACGTTTCTGCCTGGAAAGATACTCAAGATTGACATCAAACTGTGTGATCATGCTCACCAAAGAAGAAGGACATAGCAAACAATCACATTAGTCTTCCAATGAAAACTGCATAATTACAACAATACCACATAGCAGGTGAGGCATTATGGATCTACTGTTGGTGAAATCTTGTTGAAATCCTATAGATATGTATGTACTAAACTTAAAGCTGCACTCCAGAGTTTCCCCCTTTCAGGAATTATGTGTAAAATTCATAGTTTTACTCTGTTTGCAATACATAATTTATCAGGCCTAGCCTATGTATTTAGAATTTTAGCAGCATTAAACATCTGTATACATACAGATATCAATCACTGAGCGTTCACATAGAGTTATGCAAGTACCTAGACAGATGAAAAATTTATTATTGACAAGTAAGTCTTCAAGAAAAAAATAGTAAGAATAGAAATAAAAATCGTAAAACAATGCATTTTAGCTCTGTTGGCTGCCAGGTTCAAATTGTCCACTGTCACATTGCTTGCAGCTTTAATCATGGATAAAGAGAGAGGGGCTTAAGGTGCAATATCTTTCTTCTGCCTCTAGATAGTGCTCTCTGCAAGAAAACTATTTCTGCTTTCAATTCTTTTCATTTAGAAATAGATTTATTAGGAAGAAAAAAATACCTTTGGCCCATTGCCACTATGAGACCTTCCCAGTAATTTTACTAAAACCTCACGATGTGAGTGTGTCTCCATTTCACCGGGTCACCCTGAAAGGATCATTTTTCAGGCCATGTCAGAGACCAGCTAAGTATCTGCTTGGTATGTATTCTGAGATAGTCTGCTAGAGTGGCTAGGCGGGACTTGTGGTTAACTCATACTGATTGGTTGTAACTCATTTGGGACAATCGGCATGCATTTGGGAACTTGGAAGAGTTGCTGGTGAATCCAAATGGAAAGAAAAGAAAAGAAGCCGCATTCACGCTGCTAGCTGTTTCTAAACTCTCCCTAAATCCTCTCCCTGTCCCACAAACGAATGCAACTGTGGTGTATTTTGAAAGACTGAAACATCTTAAATATTATTAACGTCCGAGGACACATTTTGGCGATGATCAGCGACATCACTCACAACTGAAATGATTGCGATGTGCTGACATCTAGCAAAGTCTTGAAAGGCATGATTTTATACAGCGACACAAAGGCTGCAAGGACTGAGCTAGCAGATTTTTCCAGTAATCTTCTCTTGAGAAATTTCCCCGAACACCTATAGTAGAAATGAATGAAGTGTGGCATTTTCTTTTAGCTAGGTAATGGTATATTGTATCTGTTGTTTCCTGGTCCCATTTAAAAACATCACCTTTGCACCCCAACAATACTAAAAGAGTCC